TTTGTATGTGTAGTTCCTTGTAACAGATACAATGAGGGGTTACTATCTGTATAACTTTAAAAACACTCTATACATTTTGCTTTATACAGGAATCATGAATGCATAAAAAAAACAAAAAAACATCCATGCTATTCTAATGCACAGAGACATCTTGTTTTTGGGAATTAAGAGGTCCAAAAAAGTATATGGACACTTTTGTTGTTCTAATAAATGTGTGAATGTCATTGCATCAGATAAAAACATAAAACCACAATGCAGGATTCCTCTCTTCACTAACTTCACTTTTTTCAATATGTTTGCTCCCTGTCTTTTAATCAACTCGTGTTTTGTTCATTTTTAGTGAATTTATGAAGTCAGTTATCCTCAGGTTCACTCAGGTTATCATTTCAAAACTGGACAAACTTATTTTTGTGAGATGTTCTGCTTCTAAAGTGTTTTTCTTTAAAACAAGCAACACTTAGTTTGCAGTCTAATGCAGTGACATTTTTAGGGTCACAGTATCGTAGCTGGAGAGATTGTCATTTTTTTCTCTTCTGTAATAGAGAAGGCTGCATTAATGTCCATTCCTCCATTCCCCTACGAGCATGTGAAACAGGACACTGGCCCGTGAGTACTCTGCTTTTCTGGGTCAGGAAGACAGGAGCCAAGGCGAGAGTAGTCATTTGTATATGTGTGTCTGTGGACACACTTGTGCGACTCCACACAGTGAATTTTGAGCCCTTTGAGACCATAGTATGCATCTCCAACTCGGACCACACACACACACACACACACACACACCTCAGTGACCTCCAAACAATGTTTGCCGAGTAAGCAAAAACCTTCACTGCGGTAATGAGAATCCACTTCCAAAACCGCATCCCCTCTTCCACACTAAAAAAAGAAAAGGGGGGGAGGGGACATGATTTATCCTCTCATGACCTTCTGTGTAAAAATGCCCCTCTTAAGCAGCTGATATAAATGTATGAGAAGAGAAATAAAAACAGACTTGAAACAATGTGGATAAAATATTTAACAGACCTCCTCTTCTCTCACCCCATCCGAAATGAATGTGCAGATACAGGCTACACTTTTTGTTCTGCCTCCCTGCACATCAGTGTCTAATTTTGACCTTCAAATGCACTCTCCTTTCAAGTGCCCTTCTGACAATATGGCAGTGAATCAGACAGCTGATGCTTTCAAAACAGGAGTGCACTGATGTAAAGTACCACTCTTCTGTACGTTTTTAATGAAATTTAGAGGAGATAAATACACCAAGCACTATGTCACTATGCACCAAAAAGCAATTGAGAACATATGAATCCCTCCAAACTAATAAGATTTCAAAGAAAATGTTCAACAGCTCCTGCAGCTTTAAGATGATTCATCAGATTATGTTTTTCTTTTTGTTCTTCAAAACGTAATTACAGGAAATCTTTTATATATATATATGCAAAAAGACTGGAGTAATGATGATGATGAAAATTCAGCTTTGCATCACAGGAATAAATTACATTTTAAAGTATATTAAAATAGAAAACCATTATTTTAAATTGGAATAATATTTCACAATATTAGTTTTTTTTTGGTCAAATAGATGCAGCCTTGATGAACAGAAGAGACTTCATTAAAACACATTAAAAATCTTACTGATCGCAAACTTTTTAACAGCAGTGTATGTATAGATATCAGAAGAAAGGTTATATATACATTAATCAATTAGCTTTGCATTATTTTCAAATGAATATCGTTTCACTTGCAAATACATCATATTACAGAAATCAAGTCAAGTCAATGAAAAAGAAAAACAAACTGTTTACAGTAATGCACTAACAGTGAAAGTCAAGGCAAAGCACTGTATGGGAGTACATTTTAAAACGGACCAAAATAGACCAAATTCAAAAGTGACATTATGCAGCTTTTATGCAGTCAACATGCAAGAAAACAACATTAAAAATATTTGAGCAGCACAAATATCCACCTCCATAAATTTACACTGTAAGTACATTACTGGAATCACGACGGTTGCTCTTACAACCTGAGGAATGAGATGTTATAGATGCTGTCAATATAGCTTAACTTGCATTGAACACAGAACGATTCCATTAAAACACATTAAAAGATTTGAGATGCCTTGGTTAAAACTCACAATCTAAATTAAAAATTCCTCTTTTTTTGTTTTGTTTAGACTAATAGAGTGATAAGAAGACAATCATCTCTCCACATGAGCGAAGTAATCGCGGCTTATGTAACCCACACAATTCTAAATATACTGATGCAGGACTGGCCGTGGAGGAGTGGAGTGAACTACATGATAAAATCCAGAACAACAAATACATGAACAGAGGTCAGGGGGCTCTCTTGCATCGCTCGGTTTTATAATGAGATGCTAATAGGGCAAGAATGTGTTGTAGGGAGACAGCAGAGAAGGAATTTGCTAGAGATGCATGGGATAGAGGACAGAGAATGAACTATAGCCGTTCAACACTTAATTGAAGTGAACAAGAGATAAAAAGGATTTCTGGTCCTTGAAAAAGAGCATTCGATAACTAGATTTCTATGCGAAAAGTAACAGCATACCACTTCCCAAGAAGCCAAGTCTAAGCTTAAATGGAAACAAAACATATTTAACTAAGAAATTAAATAAAACATTACACTGAGATTCTGGTTGTTTCAGTATCACTGGCAGCTATGATGCCCAAAAAATGTCGTCTACCTAGGCAGTGCACTATATGTTGAAAGACAGCCACTATAACCAGAGACTTCCATATCTACTTTTAAAGAGATCACACAGTGGTCAATAGGGTTGGGTATCATTTGAATTTTATTGATTCCGATTCTTTTCGATTCCCAGTTTCGATTCCAATGTGATTAAATAAGGATATCAAACATTTATTCTGTGTCTCTTTTTTTGCAAACCATTTATTGGAGCTGAATACCATGAACAAAAATCAACAGGCTACATAAAAACTGGACTCTGCATGATTCTGAATAAATTTCTTTTTTTTTTTTTCTCTCCCAATGGAAGTTATGGTTCTCTCATGATTCTGAAGAAAAAACATTAGACAACTAAACAAAATCAATGAATTAATGATTAAATGACTCACTCAAGATGTACTTGTTTCATTACTGGATGAATCAGCGTTCTTGAACGAATCTCTTGTGATTCAAAGACAAAATACATTTTAACAGCCCCTTTTCGCCACCTACTGGCGTTACAGTGTATCTTCATTTGAAGCGTCAAATTACTTTCAAAAGGTGATTTATTCTATTTTAATCGCTACCATTGTAACGGAAATAATGATACTGTGTGGCTGAAAAGACTGTGAAGTGGTTTCATTCATGACAGACAGCTGCTCTCTTTAGGTCAGCGGCAGCGCGAACGCAAATTTAAAATGTTCAAATCACACTGATGTGATGGTATGCAGCACGGACGAACCAAGTGATCACAACATTGATCGCACACGTCAAAGGTTGAGGAATGAAACGGACGAATCATTGTAATTTAGGAATAGAATCACGTTGGTGTTTGAATTGTGTTCGCGATCTTTAACGATCTATTAAATTAAAGTGCTTTGTACGTTGGTGGTGACACCTCTCTTGCAACATGTTTAGCTATCACAGATATTATACTTAGCTTTTTTGGCTTCTGATCGCAAATGTAGCCAAACTTTGGAGCACTTAGATTAGCGAGCAAGGTCCTGGCAGATCGCTAGGTCCAGTCCTCACAGATGAAGAAAAAAAAAGCTCATAGGAATCGATAGGCGGAATCGAACTTTTAATTTGACAACAAGTATCCGATTCCTGACCTTAAGTATCCGATTCTGGAATCGGAATCAATTTTCGATTCCCAACCCTAGTGGTCAATGCCATTTCATTGTCTGCAACCAATAACCTTGAGACAACAAGTGAAAGATAGAGGTGACTGACCATCACACAACCAACTCGTGGAGCCAAAGAAATAAAAAAGAAAAGAATACAGCCGACAGGCACTGGGAGGCTTATTTTAGCATGCGGCCAGCAATGGACACCATTAAAGATGCAGGAACAAACAAAACCTGACTGGACCAGGTCAGCTATGGCCTGTTCTTCCCCTATACTCTCTGAACGGTCATGCTTTCAAAGACAGCTGAAGGCCCATGAGAGATACATAAAGCAATCAATTTTTGACCTTGTAGTCAGTATATCGACAATCTTGTCATCTCCAACTGGAGCTCTGCATTGATTTGCTCCATAAACCGTGCTGAAAAATTAAACTGTCAATCAAAAGGAAAAAAAAAATAAAGCCGCATTGAGCAAAACATAAAAAGGGCCATGACAGCTGCATTCATATGATGATATGCAACATATCTTGTAGATTATTGGTGCAGGCATTTTAAAATGGTCATTTATTGTAAACCAGATATCTTTCAGCCCCTGAGATGGCTCCATGTGGCAGCTGAATTTCTGAAATGTGACTGGACAGTTCAGTGTGATGCCTGTGTGTCTGTAGACAGGGGAGAAAAGGCCAGTGCGGCCCATCTGCTGTGTGTGAGTGCATCGTGTGACAGAGAAACATGCTGAGAGAGAGACGGAGAAAGATTGAAAGAATACTGGCACATCTTTCATCCGGTTCAAGTTTTAGGTCAGACATGGCTTCATCAATTAAATTTTAAGTGCAACTACATGAACGCACATCTAACCACAAACTCGATCCCATTCATGGTCGTATTTTGAAATGTGTTGGACCACAATTCATAGAACACTGCAAATTGTGCGCTTGTAAACAGTTCCTGGATTTGGTGTTGGAGAATTTTGAAATTGCAGCCTGCTAAGTGACAAACTAATAAATTAAAGCAGTTAGTCCACCCCCAAAGTAAAACCAGCATCTAAAAATAAAAAACAAGTCAAATCAAATCTTTTTAAAAAGTAGTTCGCTGTGCTACACAATGTGACTGACCACATTGAAAGCTTTTTCAAAATGCTGTCAAGTACTGCAACAATTTGGACTTTGTTCCTCCACGACACGGTTTTATTTTTACCTGAATTTCCATGCCCTGCTCCAGTAACCGTTTGGCTTGGTTCTCCACCTCCAGACGAGCTCGACTGATGAACAGCAGGTCATTTTCTATGACGTCAATACCTGACAGATCAACACCTTGGGACAGGTAATCTGCAAGAAATGGAGCAAAAAATGTTTTGTTGATTTTTGAGCTTTTTAAAGCTTTGTTGTTGTTAAAAACTTCATTTACAAGACCATTTTTTCACAAACATGGGCAGTCATATGTTTATGTGATAGATAACGTGTCATATGGAGGACGAGTGTGTTTGCACACCCCTAGGAACCCGTTTGAGCCGTTAGCATGCAAACCGTCTTCTTCACAATTGTCTGCACTAAGCAGGAGGTCTGGAAGCCACCCGACCAATCATCGCAGGCTGTGAAAATTATGCTTGATTTAGGTTTTCAGTGTGAAACGCATCAAAAACTGTTGGAAGAGATGAGACAGGCTTCACTTGAACAATGCTAATGTTGGCAGCTTCCTACGTAGGGTTGACTAAACTCATCGCAAAGAGCAAAGCATTTATTTAGACGCCAGCATGCCCTGGAATGAAAACACTGATAAGTAGGGTAGCAGCTCCTAGGATGGTGTGGGATACAGGTGGAGGAGGCTGAATGTCCCAGTTACACCTGAAAATATTCCACACAGGACACCAGCTGTTACTCACAAAGGTGTGCTCATTCAAGTATAGTCATGGATTTAACAGCACCTGTCCTCTCAGGTGTGCCACATGAGTGAAGTAAGCACCTTAGCAGACAACAGTAGCCATTATCATTTCAGAAGATTTGAGCAGAAAAATTTTAACAGCTTAGTGGCAAACGGTAAACCAGCATTAAATCGGAATACTTCCTTAAAGGGTGAGTTTACCATCCACATTGGAGCCCATTGAATGCACACACACACACACACACACACACACACAGATATCCGTTTTTAGTGCTGCACAGAAAAGAGAAATCCATACAGGGTTGGAACATCATGAGGGTGAGTAAATGACAAATTTCATTTTTGGATGAACTATCCATTTAAGATCAACTAGTAAATTAGCTGTTCAGACAAGCAAATTTGAATAATGTAGTTGTGTATTTAAAGAGAAGATTCTTGCAAGTAAAACAGAGTAGTTTGTACACATCTCCAATAAATACACGTTTTTATGCAAGAAGCACAAGAATATCCACACTGTGAACTTTAACGAGTAGAAGATTCTTGCAAGTAAATGAGAGGGAAAGAAACAGCGTCTCTAAACTGAACAGGCCTCTGAACAGACAGCTCATGAGTCAGAGATGCTGACTGATACGGATACAGTGGCACCAAGCAGAACAATGTCACTACATAGATCCACTCATTAGCGCCTTCTGAGGGCACACACACCAGCTGACGACTCCGTGACTCGATTTGCCGCCTGCTAAAAAAGATATCATAAAGGACCCAATGCTGTCTCATTAGAAGAGGTCAGATATCTTGCTGAGGAAATCACTCCATACTGTAGCACCCAGATGCTAAGAATCGTCCTTGAGTTTGTGTTCTGGAGAGATCGAGAGCTGTAGGAAACAGGTGGCTTCTACACAGGAAAGCAGGGGGGAGTCTTTGGCTCGTTCGTACAGGTATAGGCCCAAAGCCAGAATAAAATCAACGATCCCTGCCAAAAATCTCTGTGTTGCAGCGCAATTTCATTTCACCTCATTTTCACCCTCTCCTGCTTCACCCTTCTAGAGTGCAACAATGATTACACTGTCCTAGAAGAAAACCACAATACTGAAGGGGGACTCTCAATTAACATTCTATCATTTGCACTTTGATGACAAGAGCTGACAAGTGCTGAAACTGTTGCATGCTGTTCTAAGTGACAAATGGTTGCAGGGATTTAAGGTAAAATGATGATTCTGTAACTCAGGCTACATTTAAAATGACTTGCTACTAGGGCTGCACAATTAAATTAATCAAAATTGCAGAGGGGCCTTTTGCAATAATTAAACTGCAAAAGGCTGGGATTTGATTAAATATAGCATACACATGATGCATTCTTCATATAAGGGACAGCACTCTGCTCTGTTCATAATCTACTACTCATACTTGCATGCTACTCGCATGTTTTTACACAATATTGGGTTCAAATGCAAAATAACCCTATTTATTTCTGAGATAACAGTAACTGGACACCACTTGCTAAATTAAAGGGGTACGCTAGCCCAAAATGACAATTATTCCATAATTTTCTCACCTTTCCAGCTTTATATACACCTTTCTTTCTTCCGATTTTTTGAAAATAATTAGGGATGCACGATATATCGGCCACCATATCGGTATCGGCCAAAATTTTCATATCGGTGCATCCCTAAAAATAATCCATCTCTTTTAAACTTCAACTATAAACCATCACTTTCGGCCAACTGTCATAAGCATGTTCATGAAACCATCATGAAGCAATATCTCAGCATGTTTGTTAAGTGTGATGCAAGTGCGTGACAATCTTTGCTTGTGTTCACCTAAAGAAAGAAAGTCATCTGGGACGGCAAGAGGGTAAGCATTTTTGTGTGGAATATACCTTTAAACATGCAAAGGCATACAGCAGATACCCTGCAGTGTGCAGTAAGAAACACACTAGTATCTGTTTTGAATGCAGTGACAGCTCCTCTCTCCAAAACCAAATTATGCTGGGGTCAAGTCAAGGGGAGGGGCATAGGTGCATGTTCAACCACTGTTCTTGACTCTGTATTTTCGGTGTTGCAAAAAATGTGTTGGCTCTTCACATATCCTTCCTTTTTGTAGAGGCACTAGAGGACTGTAGGCTCAGTATCAATCACAGTTATTGCCTGCATTTATCTGGAATGGAGCACAACAGCCACTCCACATAGAGAATGTGCGGTGTGCAATATAGTGTAAAACGATTCTAACTTTCTCCCAAGGGTTTTTCTCCATTCTGTCACCGATGGAGTTTTGGTTCCTTGCCGCTGTTGCCTCTGGCTTGCTTAGTTGGAGACACTTCATTTCCAGCGTTATCGTTGACATAATTGCAAAGATATTATTTAAACTGAGCTGGATGTTGACATCACTGAATTCAATGATGAACTGTCTTTAACTGAAAAATGAGTGTTTACTATTGTCATTTTGCATTATTGACACTATTTTCCTAATTAATGCTGTTCAGTTGCTTTGTCACAATCTGTATTGTTAAAAGCGCTATATAAATAAAGGTGACTTGACTTGACTTGACCTTGGAAATGCAGTTTTTCCCTATTACGGTTAAAAAAAGAAGGGGCCAATAAGAAACATTAGCACAAATTCACTATGGGCTCTGTCTGAGGAGGTGATTCCTGCAAAGCGGGGCACACTCAATTTGTTTGAGATTAAAACGAAAAAAGGTAATTGCTGTTGGTGTAGATGGAGTCATCTCTGAAATTACAAGGAAGAGCAAGAAAATGTCAAATAAAAGCGCAATACTAAGTTCAAAAGCATTTAAATTCAAGAACTCAACACCAAGCAGTCATGAGAACAGCCTACAGGTATTTCTGAAATCATGCTAAAATCACGTGAGAGGGCCATGGCAAGTCACTTAGCCTGAAAACAACCTTGGATCATTTCTGTGTCAAATTATTTATTCTCTCGCCAGACCCAATGTCTCCTTTCACCTGGACGCTTCATTGATATGTGACGGGTGAGGGAAACACAAACAATTCATCTGGTCAGAAGTGACAAGACTTCTGTATATCGCTCCAACAACTTCTTGACAGGACCACTACTGGCACACTGAAATCACATCCAAAGGTCAGGCATTGTTCTCGCACATCAATTCGACCAACTGTAAGAACAAGCAGGGTTCTTTCATACAGGTGTTCAAGCTACCATCGCTACACCTCAATAACATACCCAGTTCACTTGTCACCAAGATAAGGTGGTAATAAACCACTGCTGCTACTGTTCATGGTGTACTCAAATTGATGATGTTCTCTAAATGTGGTTAGGACAAAAACAGAAAAAAAAAAAAAAAAAGAGTACCTATACTTTATAAGACTTTATATTGATAGATATCCTGTATTTTACTCAATAATATTACGGATATACTACGATATTACCATACCATTTACTATTTCCCATAACAATATTACATTTATTACAAAAGTTAAATATAAATGTGACAGAATATTTATAAAGAGAAATATCATTTTGTGGGGTGTTGTCTGAAGAATCATAAAGCACTTGGGAAAGATCGTAAAAATGCAAAAAGTATTGGGATACACTTTTTTTAGTAAGGAATGTGCGGTTAATTTTTCAGTTTCAATTTCCATTTCTATGTGTAGTGCTTATAGCAAGAAAAAGGCTGTGCTACATGTCAAACACCTTCCCTCTCAGCATTAAAGGGTTAGTTCACCCAAAAATGAAAATTCCATCAGTGTTGCCAAGTCTGCGGTTTTCCCGCGGAATTGGGCTACTTTAACACCGTTGCTGTGGGTTGTTTTTCATGTCCGCGGGTTGAAGCGACACCAATAACGCGATATTTAGCCCCTGAGATGCTAATTTTACCCGGGAGCCTCGCCAAAAAACTTGTATTTTACCCCCCGGAACGTGATTTTTAACGGGGACCCCCCTCGAAACGCGATTGGGCTAGTTTTGGCCACAGTTTAGGCTAGTTTAGGCCACAACTTGGGCTAGTTTTTGGGCTAGTTTAGGCCACAACTTGGGGAAGTTGTGGCCAAGTTGTGGCCTAATGGTTAGAGAGTCGGACTCGTAACCCAAAGGTAGGGATTGTAGGTGGGGGGAGTGAATGTACAGCACTCTCTTCCACCTTCAATACCATGACTGAGGTGCCCTTGAGCAAGGCACCGAACCCCCAACTGCTCCCCGGGCACTGCAGCATAAATGGCTGCCCACTGCTCCGGGTGTGTGTGTTCACTGCATGGATGGGTTAAATGCAGAGCACTAATTTCTAGTATGGGTAACCTGCCTCCCTTAGACAGCAAGGGTAGCAAACGTAGCAAAGAGATCGGTAAAATAATCCATGTGACATCAGGGGTTCAACCGTAATATTACGAAGCTACGAGAATACTTTGTGCGCAAAAGAAAAAAAAAAAAACTTTATTCAACAATTCATCTCCTCTGCATCAACCTAGCACCA